TGATAAAGGTGGCACGAGTCGCGGGGCCGTGTCAGTATATACTAAATGAACAATTGTCAACCACAAACCTGTGTTGTTGTTGGCTACCTTTTTTACGCGTGTGATTTATATACGAAAAGAATTTGTTTTAATTATTTATCTTGTGACGAAATGCAAATCCAATATCTCTAATTATATAAACATATTGAAATATTTATCAAATCATCTCACAGCAATTTGCAAAAAAAAATAAAGCAAGTAAATTTATGGTATCCCAATTATTTGGAGTTAATAAGTTTGAGTAAAGGATGACAAAGCAATAGATANACCGTATTACACTATATAGAGCACAAAAATCCTTTTAGAGCGGCATTCGATTTCATCGTATTGACGTCGCAAAAATGTAGTCGACGCTGGTTTTAAGGGTAGGACACGTGGGCCGTTTATTAATGAGCAACAACGTTGCCACTTAGTTAGGTCATTAGAAAAACAAAAGTTTATTACACCTCAATTTCTAATGTACTGCGTTTATTATTTTTATATCTACTTGCCTTTGTCGTTCTAAACCCTCGAACCATATGACGCCGATAGAACCACAACCTGATGTTCTCACCATATACAAGACCTACTTCTAATTTAATCATTTTTATTTTATTAATTTTGGTTATTTGAATTATAACAATGGAAAATAGTATAAAGTATAAATTTAATTTCTTGTCAATTCGCAAGACATTGAATTTCTAAAATGTAATTTATTTTTTATTGAATTGTTAGAATAATCTAAAAAGCATTGAGATATTATTAATATCAGCATCTCGTTATTTTGTACCTTGGGATATTCTACTGCAAACAAACTTGAGTGGAAAATTATACAACAATATTCAAAATTTTCTGTAATAATAGATTTATCTAATTTTAAAAATTTAATTATTTTTTGACTCATTTCTTTTGGATGAATTTCACGAGAAATTATATCATCTCCCAGACTCTTAAAAATTGATTGAATTCTTCTGTAAAATTACAAATTAATAACGATAAATTAATTATACATCTGAATAACTCATTCAAAAATTAATACTATTTAAAATAAATAGTTGCAACATTAAAATACAAATAATTATATAAAATTTAAAAAGATGCTAATTGGATAGACATTATTCTCATTCATTTTTATTTTGGTTAAGATTTTATTTTGTATTTGTATTAGGATTTTCCTAAGGTTTTAAAATGATTTTTAGGATTATTAATAATTTTTACAAAACTAAATAGATTATAATGTTGCAAAGATGTTTGACATACGTATTAGGTTTTTCTTAAGGCTTTAATATGACTTTTAGGATTATATACAGTTTATTTTCTTGTAAAAATATAGTGGCTCAATTGATGTTATAGTAAATTTAAAAAAAATTATACTTCTTTTACAAATGTAATGATCAGCGTTTAATGAATTATTTTAATTATATAAGGATGTCAAAGTTATTTCAACGTCTTACCATAATTCATTTGTTCAAAACCATTTATGTTTAAATTAGCAATGCAATTATGGAATGAATTTTGTGCTTGTGGTAAATTTTTGGATGACAAATAATTAATAACTTGATCAATTTTTATATCAGCTGATGTCGACAATATTAGTCCCTAAAAAAAAATTAGTTTTACTACTACGTGTACATGGTAATTGGACTGACCAACACAGCCTGCCATACGTTAAGGTACAAAGTCTAGCAAGTGTCGCTGGCCCGACGACGACCCGTCGCAAATATTGGTCGAGTCTGCTTCAGGTCGTCGATGATTTACGCCACTGGCTCTGGACGTGTTGCGCGACCTGACAAGATGAACCGATACCGCACCGTCGCCATCAACGCTGTTACTATTGACGTCCGAGGACCATGTCGGTTGGGTTTCGCTGTTGTCAGAGATGTGGTATCTCTGACAACAGCGAAAAGGCCGCGATTTTATGCGAACATTATTATTGATTGGGTTCGTCATTTCGATTTCTTTTTTTTTAATAATCTTTTGTTGTTCTTCAGTAATAAACGACCAATGCCTCCGTACCATCTATATCAGTGTCGACTACATTATTGTGACGTAAGTCGTGTCAATTATAATTTCAAATTTATCTATGTACTCTTCAGATAGTAATAGACATTTAAATTGCTAAACAAATAAAAAAACTGCCGTTTTCAACGATTGTAATTTTCATATATTTTCGTAAATATGTCGGTGTGTCCTTTTTAAACAGTTCCGTATTTATAAGCAATTATCGGGTTTACATACGATTTATGCGCTTGTGAGTCGAGTAGAGCTGTGACGAAGCCATTTTGGAATTCTAACTCGACTGCTGGAGTAGTAATTCTACGCGGGCATTTTCATTACTCGGGTGGTTTACGGTTCGAACGAGGGGCAGCTGGTTCTTGACCGCGACGGCGGTTTGCCCACTGACAGTGTTAACTGCCATTAGTGGATTAGCCGGGTCGACTGACACCCCCTCCCCCACTGTGCCCGAAAAAGTTTCGAACACCTGACTTGCGCTATGTTCGGTCGTGTCGGCAGTGTCTTCGAATTCCGATACCCTGATTACATACGAATTTACCGCGGCGTACCCTCCATCCCGATAAGAGGGTGTGGTGCCGAAAAAGTGCCAAGATCGTTGGCGGAATGTAACTCGTAAGGGCCGTTAGATTCGGTGTTTTGCGCGACGGTCGTGATTCGTGTTATGTTGTTACCTGATAAAAATTACGTAGGGCGCGTTTTAACTGAAACGTCGTTTAAAACGCTGCGCCCTTTTTGGATCTGTTGTATGCTTGGGGGGGGGGGCGGACTAATTCCCTCCTAGCCGATTGCCGTTTCCCGATACCGACGGTCTATTTGGGCGATGCCAGTGTCACTCGCTGCAATATCGGCACGGGGATGGCGGTGCGTCCGCGTTTGCATAACCCGCTCGCTGTCGGGCCGCTGGTTGAGCATTATGCCGCGGAGGCAGTTCGGCTGGCTGTAGGGTCGTTGGTGGAGCGTACCGAGGAGCCGCGGTCTTATCTACGTCGTGCGCTATCTCATGTAGATCGGCGAAAGACGCTGGGTGCATTAACCGTATCATAGCGCGGTAATCGTCCCGTAAAAGCCCCGTTAACTGTCGCAAAAGTTGTTGTTCTGGTAACCCACAACGTACTCGCGCGGCCAAACGTTGTTTATGAATAATAAACTCGGTTAACGCTTGTCGGGGGCCCTGTCGCGTCGTTTTTAAGTCCGTCTCGAGCGCAGTCCGGATATCGATATTGTCGAACTCCTCGAGTAATTCGGACCTAAATTCCGTCCATGGCATATTGTTTAATTTAATCGCTCGCCACCAATCACCTGCCCTGTCGTTCAAAAACGGGACGACGATGTTTACCCACGCGGTTGGGTGTATACCGCCCCGACAGAGTAGATCCTCCGCTCTATCTAGAAACTCCCGTGGGTCCTCTTCGTTTCTCCCGTAATACTCAGGTAAGCAGGCGCGTACGTTGCGTAGGTCGTGGTAGGGGGGTACCAATACCGACCGCGAGCTGCGGGTAGGCAACAAATCATTAAAGGACCGACGTCCGTCGGTTGTATTGAATTGCCCCTCCCGCGGTTAGCGCGTAAACTAAAAATCGGTCGGCTCGTATGAGTGCGCTGATAATGTTCGTCCTGCTAACACCTACTACACATCCGTGGTAGCGACGCTTGTACGTACGACCGTCTCATGTTGCGGACTTGTTGTGCTTCGATGTCCGCGAGGCGCTCGTTTAGTGTTGCGTCGGGTCCGTCGCTCCCGATGGACCGAATGTAACGCGATGCGCTTCCGATCGTCGACTATCATTTCGGTCAACGTTAACTTGTCGAACAGTCGGTTGTACAGCAACATGTGGGGATGGCGGCATATTTTGACTGATTCGCTCAAGCATGTTGGAATTCTGTCGCTTGACATACACGACAGCGACCTTTCTAGTTCAGTCATCCGTGCCTTAATCCGCGCGTTATTCGAAATATAGCGAATATTCTGTCGGATCGCCGGTACGCTATCGAGCGAGCAACGTATACGTCTTCAACGTACGGCGTGCCTAGTAGTCCGCTTGCGCGCATCATTTCCCCCGGTTGGTCGACATCAGATTCGTCTTCGGATGTGTGTAGCGCGAGGTTCACCGGATTTTTCTCCGGTAAAGGCGCTACGACGGGCCGCTGATTGCTCGCGTCGATTTCTTGTTCGCTGACACCGTCCGTGGTGTTGTCGAAAACCCCCACTCCGTTTTCACGGACCGGGATTTCGCTATCGAGCTGCGTACGGAGTAGTAAAATTTCGGTAGCTGGGTTCCTACTCTTCGCTAAGTAGGTTTTCTTCTAGCACAATTAGCATGTTGGGTTTCGTCGCGTAGCATGGCAGTTGTCTGAAAGCGCATAATAATCAAAAGTAGCTACGTTAATAGCGGAGATAAACAATATTTCCGTGTACGGTCGAATTTGCTACTGCTGCAGAAAACAAGTGTTATTATTATTGCTATTATTGATGTCGTAAAGTACCCGCGATAAGATGGTACGGGGCCGCCGTTTATGATATGGCACCGAGTGAACAATAATAATAACGGTTACCTGGGAATCGACCGCTTTGACAAGGTCAGACGTAAATATACTATTTTTATCTACCAATAGACTGTAACAATCGGCCGGAAATTAACTTTCTGTCGATATCAATAAGGTCTTTATAACAAACTGTAACCAACACTTTTCGACGACAATAGTTACAGCGGACTGTATTAGATAAACTACTCTAACTTTATTTTTATAAAAAATTTTCCAGAGGCCAAGTCAAATCTAATGCCGCTAACACGTAACTGTGAATAACCCAGGTAAAAATTCACTGCTGTCATCAGTGAAATTCGTTCAAATGACTATATGAACAATAAAAATTTGTAAGGGAGACTTCACCGTTCCAAGTTAAAACTAAAATCTAATATACAGTAGAACCTCATTAATCCGGACAGCTGTCTAGTATTACGAAAAATACGCAGTTTATGCCGTAGACTAAAATAAACATAAAAGCAAGTTCCTCGAATTTCCCATAAGTACATATATTTTTATCTACCGTCATTAAAGTTATCATAAACTAATATCGAGTTGCAATACATATATAGAATGTTCAGTAAGTCAGGAAACAATAGAAACCCGTTTCCTGACTTACTGAACACCCTGTATATTGTATATCATACATAGTAATTAGTATAATATAATATTCTTAAATCTATAATACGAACATGTTTTTTGGTTATTTTGTTTAATCCGGACTTTCATTAAATCAGACAACCTAGAGCCCTTATTGGTTCGGATTAATGAGGTTCTACTGTAATTAGAAATAAAACTGAATCGGCTCAAAGCCTCTTACCTTAAATTCTTTCGTCCGGTTTAGATTTCGTACTAGGTCTAGTTTTCTTAAATAATACATTCATTTCAGGATTTGATTCTAAATCACGTGTCAACTTTCTTTTTCTCGCAACTGCTTCATTATTTTTAGTATCGCCAAACAATAAATCCTATAAGTTATACACGTATTAAATCTATGATTATTGAAATAATAAATTGTTTTATAATAATTACAGTCTTGCGAGGAGTATCTGAAGAATATTTTGTAGTTTTTCTTTTAACAATAATTGATGACTGGCTAATAATATGTCCTTCTGTTAATGTACTGAATCCAAGTAGAAGTGAATCTGAAGACTAGAAATAAAATAAAATTAGGAAAAAAACTGTTAACCTTTTTAAAAGGTAAAATAATTACCGATCCTGTTGGGGATACAGCAATGTCTAAGAATTCATCATCTGAATCATCTGTACATGATGTATTGCTCTCAGATAATGTTGACACTGATCTGGAATCATCTGAATGAGCAGTAAGAGAACCACTGTCCTGTGAATTAGGATCATGATCTTCAAGTGGATATGATCGTCTTACACGGCGTTTGTATTTTGCAAACTAAAAACCATAAATTACAATATTTATTTTCATTAATATTGAATTTCTAGAAAATTATTAAATTTAATAGTAAATTTGATATCTAACATTGACCGTTCTTTTTAACTATAGCTATTTAACAATACATAATTAACAGTTTAGAGATGAATAAAAAATTTAATTAAATTTACTGTAATAAATAAACAGACTAAAGTTAATGATTTAATTTATGCTGGGATTAATTAATGTTAATATATTATTAATACAAACTTCACAGTTTAAGAATGCACAACAGTATGGAATCTTGCTTGACATAATTATTGTACAAATAATATACAATGTATAACTAATACAAATTTGTATAATTATATTATTTAAAATATCTTTTTAAGTTTTGTGTTTACATAAAATAATATATTTTTAAGGATTTAAAAAATTATTTTATGATTTAGTTTAAATAAATATTTGTTTATTTAAGGTATTAATAATAAAAATATCTATATAATTTAATTGTTATTGATATATTAGCCAAGGTAAAAATTAAAATAGTTACATGCGTTTATTGTATATCTTACTTTAGACATCATCACTACAACCATACATTTTGATGAATTTTCTTTTTCTATTAGACTGTTCATAATTTTTATAACACATTTCAATGGGCTATCGTTTATAGTTTTTGAGTTTCCCTTGATTAATCTATAAATAAAAAATAATTTGTCTCTCTCTAACTCCCTCTACATCCTATTTTCGTAAACCCCTCAAAATATGAGTCACCTGGAAGAATTTTCCGTTTTCTGCGCTTTAAATTTCGCGTTCTTCGACTGCAGTCTCGAAACTGGTACTGTTCAACAGAAATTATTGTTTCACATCTTTTGCGACCTCGATGAGGATTTTTCGGCACCCTAATTTTTTTTTAATTTTTAATATTGTAAATATTCATTAATTTATTGAAATAGAATATAAACACATATAATGATCAGTATTAAATTTTAATTTGAAAACAACAATAATTTATGAATAATTAACCCAACCCGTATTACTGTAGTATTAATGTTAGTACGATTTAGTTAGTTAATTAGTAAGTGTACAACTAATAGTCTGGGTAAGCAATTTTCAATAATGTTTGATCTGATGTTGTATAAAGTGTCACATAAATATAAAATTGTGAATGATTATTATAACATTATTCATTTAATAATGACTGTAAATTCTAGAACTTAAATTATATTATTGTAGTTATTCGTAAAAGTTAAGTGTACACTGCACTCCAACACGTCACCGTGTCTCATCCTAAGTAGGAACCCAATACAAATACAGGTTATAATGTTACAAAGATTTTAATATTTGTATTAAAAAAGCCCTTGAAAATGGCTTTGAAATGAATATTAAGATTATTTTTTACTTCTTTTTCTTGTAAAAATTTATTAACTTTATTAATATTGTAGTAAATTACAAAAAAAATAAGCTTGTTTTACCATTTTAACAATCAACGTTTTTTTTAATTATTTTAAATATATAAGGATTTAAAAGTTATTTAATTGTCTTACCTTTTTTAATTTCAATTGTTGAATTTAAGTTTGTGTTAGCAATACAAATATGAATTAAATCGAGCGATCTTGGTAAATTTTTTAATGACAAAGTGTTTAACATATGACTTAATTTGATTATTCCTGATGTTTGATCTATTATTCCCTATTAATAAAAATGTACTATTTGGATTATGCATAATTTAAATCATTTTGTTTAAAATATATGTTAAAAAAATTTTTTTTCACACACCCCGGCCAGGACAGCAGTTTTTTTAAATAATGTTAAAGGTTATTTTAATGGTGATCATTTACTCAACAGGTTATTCGTATCTAATCAAATCAAAAGTCAAATCAGAAGATTGTTTTAAATTTGTTTTTGTTAAATGTTTTAGCTTCGATGCGAAACTGAGAAGGTATTTTAAATCTATTATTATTAGGTATATTTGTTTTTTTAATATTTTGCCTCTTACTCAGAGGCGAATGTGCTTTAAGATTACTGGTAATTTTGTTTTAGAGTATATTTTTGAAGTTGAGCCCTAAATACGTCTGTTACCACTTAATAAAAAAATTGCAATTACACACTTTTAGATGGATGACTTACTTAGATTATTTCTATTTATGAAAATATAATTCCCTGTTAAAAAAAGGTACTGTTTAGATTATGCATAGTTTATTCATGAAAATCAAATAGTGATTTATCTCACTATCGTAAATTTTGGAGATAATGGAATTAGAGATAATGGTGTTGAAGCCCCTCTATACGTCTGTTGCTACTTAGAAAAAAAAATTGTACTCAAAAATTTTTATATCATTAAAATAATTTGAAATTTGCCGATTATAGACAAATTTTTTTTAATTGTCATATTATTTTTTTTAAACTTTCATTTGGTACAAGTTAGGAGGATACAGTTATTCTAGAACATTATCATAAATTAAAAAAAAAAAATTCTAAAAATTTTAAAGTTCTATGACTTTGGTAGCAGATTATTTATAAAAAACAAGTTCTAGGATCATTTGTTTTTAACTTACAGTACATTGAATTAGTTTTATTTAAATATATAATAGAAATTGTTAGGAATGTTGGTACCATTTCAATAATTATATTGAAAACAATTTTCCTATCACATGCATTTAATATCCATATTTATTCAATAATTAATTGGGTTTCTAGAAAAAGTATCTAGATAATAAGTTTAGTCGTCTATAGTATCAAATTAAATTTATTTGAAATTGCGATACAAATAAAAAATTGCCGTTCTCAACGATTGTAATTTCTATTTTGATTAGTATAAAATTACAATTTTGTTGTAATCTTTATCATCGGTCTTATGTTAATCATGTGTATCTTTATCGGGCGGCTATTATCTACCTGTATGAACATTGTAAAATCCGAACGGGTCTGACCGTTACTGCCGGGTGTGCCAGTGTATTACTTTAATAAAATCAAATGTACACGTTTTCAATAATATGTTATTATTTTAAGTTTAGATTAGTAGTCTTTATTTACACGGTCCTAAATCTCCTAGTTTCGTTTTTTTCTACCGACTAAAGAGTAATATACAAAGTGTTCACTAATGTTTATAATGTTCCCATTGTTTAAAACAATTGACCCAACCCAATCAATCTATCACACCTAAAAATATTATAGTTAATTAAACCAAGTTCAGAATCAAAAAAGTTATCGGTTAACCATGTTTCAGTTAAAACAATGAAAGTACAATTTAAAGATGATACATTACAGTTAAAGTTAAATAATTTTTTCCTTAAACCACGGCAGTTCTGATAGAATCCAGATATTGAGCCATTACATAGAGGTGTTGCTAAGAATGGTTGACTGCTTGCCGTTGACGTATTCTTCCGTTTTTTGAATGGTTGACAACAACTTTTAGCAATCCATCTTCATAATTTATACGTAGTCAAGATTCACCATCTTTAGTTCTTTATTCAAGCTCCATATAACAGGAACGCAACAATTTACGTTGAAGTGGGGTTCTATCACTAACCATTCGAAAATTATCAGGAAATGTAGTACCAGAGTGCTTTGCAGAGTTGAACTCAGATAATAAGCATAAAGCATCTCCTTTACTATTTAAAATAATTTTTATAGGGCGGGTTGAATCTGCCCGGAGTTTGCCAAGGTGGACAAGTTATAAGTTCAGGGGGTATAAATCTACTTTACGGGACACCCTTTTTTTTTCATAATTTTTTTTTTCAAAACGTTCGTTTTTTTATGCTGATTAAGAATATGTAAAAAATTTTGAGCGGAAGCGTTTGGTTCAAAAGTTATAGTGCTTTAAAGTTGCGATTGTAATTAAATAATATAGGTTATTAAAATGGATAATTTTTCATTAAAGTTATTTCGTTTTTCTAGTTTTAAATTTTATACCAACTTGAGAAGCAATTTTATAAATATAATATTAGGGAAACATTGATGCAGCGTTAAAAAGATGAAAAGTTTCAAGCAGNTGCAGCGTTAAAAAGATGAAAAGTTTCAAGCAGAAGGTTGTCAACGGATGGTCGTTTCATAAAACTAGCAAGCGTCGCAATCTGTTATCTTTATAACAATACATAATGTGTATGTATATACAATATTTTATAAATATATAAGTATAATGCGAATTACTATACGTCGGGGGGAGTGAGGTATGGTGATTCAATTGTGTATGACTTGTGGCGACTGGGGTTTTC